CCTGTGTCCAACCTGGCCTTGAACACTGCCAGGGATGGGGCAGCCACAGCTTCTCTGGGCACCCTGTGCCAGCGCCTCAGCACCCTCACAGGGAAGAGCTTCTGCTTAAGAGCTCATCTCAATCTCCCCTCTGGCAGGTTCAAGCCATTCCCCCTTGCCCTGTCCCTCCAGGCCCTTGTCCGAAGCCCCTCTCCAGGTTTCTTGTCACCCCCCCTTAAGGTATTGGAACACTGTTATAAAGCCTTCTCTTCTCCAGGCTGAACCAGCCCAGCTCTCTCAGCCTGACATGTATTAATTGTCTTCCTACCATATTAATAGACTGAGACAAAGAAAAATGTGGAATTGAGTATTTCATAAACCACAAATTTTGTAGATATCTGTAGGCAATTTTACACAGAGCAGTTCTGAAACTTTAGGCCTTCTTATAGATCATTAATTTAAAGGCTACTTTAAAACAATTTGTAAATTTTGTAATCTTTTATAATCTAACTTTGAGACTAGAAAAATTAGCAATAAATGTGGGAAATGCTGTAGAATCAGACAACAGAACAAGACATTCACAAACAACCTCTCCAAGTAAACCAAGATTTATGACAGCTGTATACAAAGCAAGATTTCTGAATAGTTCTGTTTATGACCTTATGGTATATGTCAAGAGCTCAGTTCTTCCCTTGGGCATCTCCTACTCCAGCTGCCAGGAAACTCTTTGTGTAAAAAATTTGGGAGTAAATAGCACTGAATTTTGTCCTGGAAGACAGGGCACATTGTCTATTGCACACTCCCATGCTGCAGAGCAACTTCTGCTGTGCTCTAACTACTGGTGCTAGCAGCTCTAGCTGACCTATATAATAGACCAAGAAGAGGGAGATGAAGAATAACTACTTAACCCCATGAGAATTCCAAGTGTAAACAAATGCAGACAGACCTCCTAAACACAGGAAGGGCCAGACTGAATCAGCCCCATGATCCACTCAGGCTGTGATTCAGTGCTCAACAGCAAACAGTATCGGCCCCTTCAGAGAAAAGCAGAGCTAGGCAGAGGAATGTAATAGGAATTCCTCCATCAGTGAAATCTCTCTCCAACACCCTAAAAGCAGGGTAAATTTTAATTCATAAGGTTTCATCCATTTTCCAAATAATTTATAGTTATTGCTGGAAACTATTTCAAATAAATGCATGTCAGAAGTGGCCTATGAAGCCAAACATTTGATCAGCCTTTTATAGTTACAACCCTGGTATCACAGCCCAACCACAATAAAATGCTTTGCAATCCCTTTCCTTTCCCTTTTGCTAACAGCTGTTGCATCAGCTGAAAACCACTTGTCTTACCAACACATTCTCCATCCTTCAGTTCATAACCTGGCTGACAGCTCAGTTCCTGGAGACATTTGAATGATCCCACCGTGTTAAGGCAGTGCTCTCTCCGCTGGCAGGTGTGCGTGTCGGTCACACATTCGTTAATGTCTATAAGAAACAGTTCAAGAAGTCAGTGCCACGTATTTGGCAAGGGATCTGCCTCTTCCTGCTCTTTTGGAATGAGTCAAAAGCTCAAGTGAAATCGTTTCTTCCAAAAGATAGCCAATACAGATTGTGCTACAGTGTTCTGCTGAAAGATTTTTGTCCCAGGACATTCTGCTAACACAGAGTAACTCGAGAGACAAAAATCACAGGGAGACCTCCTTCTCCTCCCCTCTTCCCAAATGTGCAGTGGCATCGAGGGCAAGGGATGCACAGAACTGATTAAACGCAGGGTATGGGCAGAAGGTTGATAATCAGCTTCTGGTTTGCTGGAGAGAAACCTCCTGGATGAGAAAGTGGTTAATGCTCATTGCTCATGACCAGGTTTTCCTAGCTCAGGGTATGGAACAGTCCTGCTGCTTTGAGCCACATAGGCAGGAGCTGCTGGTGTGGAACTGCTGCTGAAGACAGGAACTGAAACTGGAAACTGCCTGCCTGGCTGAAGGTGGAGTCGTGTAACACACTGATCGCCTAAGGAATATGTCATTAGAACTGGATATGACAAGAAAATATGGAAAGGAAGACTGAAAGGCTCAATCAAGTTTGTAAATTTGTATTTCAATATTAAAAGAGATCTGATTTCAGCAGGTGGAGAAGGAGAAAAGCTCTTATTTTTAAAACATCACTTAAATACAAGGTTGCAGAATGAAGGACAATTTGGGAAGGAAATGCCATGCCTCTAAAATGATACATTTTAATAGGCTTGGTTTTGATTCAGGTTTTGCTTATTTTAATACTGAAAGCTAGGAATAGCACGATGAGCAAGTACTTAAAAGCAACAAAAAGGGGTAGAGACTGGAAGGAGAAACTTTCCTGTGCTTCTCCACAAAATCTTACACATTCACATCTTTGTATACAGCTAGGAAGTACTTCTGGAACTAACAAAAGCCAAATGTGACCATAACCATTACCAGTCATTTGGTTTCTCTGCACATGAAGCTGTTTAAATCAGATTCTCATCTTGGCTGTAGAACCTCATTCTCAGAGCAGGACAACATCAGATACATTACTTCCCCTCGTGAAGCATGAAAACAGGAAAAGCCATTTTTAAAAGCTTTGTCTAAGAAAACATGTCAGCTTGTTTTCTACCAAGTAGATTAAGAGGAGCGCCAAGACGTTTCAGTTACTGCTGAAGGCAGCTAACTGGTGACATGCACTGAGTTTGGCAGGAGCAGTGTGTTAGCTTGGTGCCATTTCATTTCTCATTTATTTGTGCTTTCTTTTCTTGCCACCACTATTCTTCGCATGCTGTGTATTTGCTGTCCAGTGGCAGCTGATTAATCCACAGCAAGGTCACTGCCATGCTGGAGACCTCTCTGCCAGTCCCACACAATGCTGGAGTACTTCCACTGGAGTGGCAGGTACTTGCCTCCCTCAGTGTTTTTACATAGTGAAGGCCTCTTAAGCCTTGTGCAGTTCCCTGCTTGCTACAGATTAGAATGAAGAGTAAGGAACAATATTCTCCTAAGTGGTCTTGGGTGGGGGGAAGCACAGCCAAAACAAAGACAAAACCCCAAAACAAGCAAACACCCCCAGCTCACATGAGCTGCTGCGATAGACCATTCTCACCCAACTAGACCGGCTCTTAAGTAAATTGAAGAGATTTGTCATCTTGTTGGTGCTGGGGTTTTATTGAATTTTAGAGGTAAATGGCTATGGATAGCCACCCAGCAGCACCCAAACCAGTGCAAAGACTCTCTGCTGGCTATACAACACATCTGAGATTATCTTTTCTTGCAAACCACAAAAAGCCTTCCCATATAAACAAACTGTCAGCACTACACTGCATCATGAGAACTCCACGCAGTTCAGCACGATGCTGGAAAAGCCACTAGGAGGAAAGTGTGCTTGTCTGAAATACTACCCAGATAAGGCAGGAAGTGTTCCACCTGACTTGCAGGTGTACACAGGTAGAAAGAAGGTCAAGATTTCACAGAGGAAAAAAGATCTAAATTTCCTAGTTTGTCTACATCTTTTATTCAATTTTCAGATCTCTGAGTACTTGAGAGAATAAGTCCAACTGGCCAGAATGCATCTGAGGAAATTACAATTATGGAAACTGCAAGATTACAAGCAGAATTTCTGCTTTCAATGAAAGTTTTGTGCACAAGTGATGCAGTGACCATCTCTAAAGCCTGTGACCTGGGTTTAAACTGTGAGGCATGCAATATGCAAAGCTCTGCTGCTCTGTCATATCCAGTGTTAGGGCATGAATCTCCACCTCTGGTATCAGGCCAGTTGCCAGCCCACCAAAGTTCCCTTTTCATTTTATTACACAGACATGCCCTTTTTTGCTCATTATCCTAAACAAGTTCCTAAAAGGTCATGCCACAAAATGAGATCTCTGAAGACTTGCAGCATCTTTCTCCCGAGTTCCCACCTGCCCATGTCGTTGCTCTCCCTATCAATGTCTATTGCAAAACAGCATCCCTTAGCATGAGAATGGGAAAAGGCATCCCTGGGAATATGGTCCCAGTTTGTGCTGGGGCAGCACACGACTCCTACACTAGCTCTGTTCAGCCCACACTGTACCTACTATCATTTTGCTCTACCATTATGACACATGGTAGAGGGGAGTGAGGACTGACCGCATTTCTATAAAACAGGACGATCTCTCTCCTTTTCCCTCCCTGTTGATTATCCATAAAATCAAGAGTGCCCATAACCTGTCTCTCTTCAGTACTGGAAACCAGCTCAACAAGTCAGCAAGATGATTTGCAGAGCACTAGGAAAAACATGAGTTATGCTTTAAGTCTGAAACAAAGTTAACTCCCAACACTGGAAGCTGCAGCCTTCATCCAGCACAGTTCAGACTGGGAGGCAGGGCAAGATGGTATTTAAAAAACGCAGGAATAAGAGGAAAAATAATTCAGTAAATATTAAAAACAAGGAACAGTTAATTTTTGAAAAATCTACTAGGTCTGTGTGTGGCAACAACATTCCTCACATGATGTCAGTAAAACCCGGAATGAAATGTAATCATGCAATACCTCTTCTTTTCAATATGTACTTTGACATTAAAAGTTAATTTTTATGCACTTTTTGTAACAATGTGAAATGCAGACTTTGGTTTTTCCTGCAGCTGTAGTTCCTCGGGAGTTTTTTTTCTCTTCAAATGACTTCAGCTTAATTTGCTTTATGGAATACATCTGCTTAACGTAGACCCGCTGTTACTTTGCAACCACCCATCCTGTGCTCACGCACAGTCCCTGTGGGTCAGCAATAAAATGACCACTTGCTGCTCACTCTGGCAGAAGAGGAAATTTAGATGGGAAGAGCAAAGAAAGGAGCAAAGTAGCCTCCTGTCAGTGTGCATGTAGGTGGTGGTAATGACTTTGCCTGAAAGTCACCAGGAAAAGCAATCCACATTAAAAACATGCAACCTGGCTCTTATCTCTGGAGAACACTGAACTTTCAAGCCTAAAGACATTTTAATATCTGTTCACAAAGTTACACAAAGCTGGTGTGCTCAAGCTGTTTAAACAGCTGGTGACTCTTCATTATGCATGGTTGGCTTTCGGGAATTCTGGATATCTGCTCTTGAATGCACCTGGAATTATAATCTTCCACAGTTTGACTAAAGGAAATTCAAGAGATAAAACGTTATCAGCTGTTTTGTTGCTGTGCAAAGACTGCTCCTCCTGTCCCTAAAATATGCAAAGAGTAACATCATTAAAACAACAACAATTTGCAAACAAATCACCAAAAAGCTTTCCTCATGGAGTTTGAGATAGCTCAAGATGGAGCACAAAAGCGGTTAAGCTGGCAAAGGATACCTTAGGTGAATATGGCTGCAGTGAGGCAGTTGAACAAAACAAACCACAGTATGCTTGTGGCTTTCCCCTTTGAATAGAAAAGTAGGAAAAATGTTAACTGCTGCATATGTCCTCCAGCACCACAGAGCAGAGCTGTGTACAAGTAGGGAGCACACAGGGCTGATCTAGCAAAAAAACAGAAACTTCAAGTTTTCTAGATTGTTTACAAGGATACCTGTAAAAACCTGACCTGCATTAGAGAAATAGAGGTTTGATACTTAGTGAAGGAGAAGAGGATCTTTTATCTTTACAAATGAGAGCTGTATCCTTCATTTAATGAGCAATGCCTGAGGTTTATCTTGTATCCGTCACAATAAAACTCTGTATAATGTCATGGGGTAGAGGACAGGAGATGAAGAAAGTGAACAAAAGGAAGCACTTGGCATCTTCTATAGTCCCTTCTGCCAAAATTGCTGACAAACATGCATTAATTTACTTTCAGAGTGCTCCTGGGAGATGTAGAAAAGGACAGCCTATATATATATATCTGCATAGTCCAGGAAAACGTCAGGGGATTAAATAGCAAGATCTTCAGAAGCAGAATGCAAGGTGAGGCAGTTCCTTCAGCTGTTCACTTACCAGACATTCTATTCAGAAGCATGGTACATGCAGCAGGCTCTGTGAAAGCCATGAAACCCACCATGCAGACTGTGGCCAACTACAAGTACCATCTTCTATCTCACAATCTGGTACTTTCTCTGTAAAGGCATCCTTACTTCCAGTAGTGTTCTCTCAGCCATTTAATGTAAACTAAATAATTTCATTAGTTTTCCATGCTTACCAGTATCTCTGACTTCAAAAGAAATAATTAAACTAAATAAATAAAAATCCAATTCTGACAATTTAAGGAAAACCAGGGAGATAGTAAATTGCATTTCTGCTCTAAACTATGACACTGTATAAACTTTCCTGCTCATGCCCTTATGCCATACCATAGAGTCATGGAATGGTTTGGGTTGGAAGGGACCTTAAAGCTCCTCCAATTCCAAACCCCTGCCACAGGCAGGGACACTTTTCACTAGAGCAGGTTGCTCCAAGCCCCTGTGTCCAACCTGGCCTTGAACACTGCCAGGGATGGGGCAGCCACAGCTTCTCTGGGCACCCTGTGCCAGCGCCTCAGCACCCTCACAGGGAAGAGCTTCTGCTTAAGAGCTCATCTCGATCTCCCCTCTGGCAGGTTAAAACCAATCCCCGTATGATGCTCATTAATAAGATGAGATCCTAGAGCTTTAAAAGATAGGAACAAAACCAAAGCTGTGATTGTCAGAAAATCAATGTTATAAATGTAGGAGAAGGACAGGGGTGGAAGGAGGTGAATGTATTCATACATGACATTATAGTCACAGGCACTGCTGATTTCATTAATGACTGCAGGTCTCTGGGTGCTCCATTTTTCCAGCGTTACCACAAAACACTGCTGCAGCTCAGGTGTCTCCTAAACCAGCCTCTAGAAAAGAACCCCCAGTACAAACTATTCCACAAGCTCAGGTCTTGGCTTTTGGAAGGAAATTAAATCCTCATAAACACACTTGTAAAAATAGATTGGTCTCTTACATGAACTTAAATAGCAGGGATGATAGAGCAGAATTATGATGCATCTTTGACTTTTACACAAAGAAATTGGTGCCAGACCCACCAACGAACTAATATGAATTTTTTCCATTGCTTTGAAATGGATCTTTTCCACTTAAGCAGATTTCTTGAGCTGTATTTATGAACTTTTGTCATTTCATGATGTCTGGTGATTTGCCACTATTGACACTGTCCAGAGAGATCAACTGCTGGTTTCCTAGTCCAGTTTAATAGTCATCAGTAATGCTGTGGTCATCATACCTGTGAAGTTTTATGTTTTTTGCACAAAGTTATATATATCTTGAGAATGTATTGCTAAGGAAAAAGCCAAATAGCATACAACTCATGATGTTAAGTGGCTGAGCAAATGGTGCACATGTGTTTTTACTAACTCATATTGAAATGTCATACGCAAAGATGGCCAGAAAGCCTTTGAGCACAAATGGTTTAAATGCATTGCAGAGCGTGAAGAATTATGATGCTGTGGTGAATGGCTTACACCTATCATCTTACCAACACATTTTCTATGCCTGTTGAGTATAAAGCCCTCTGCACAGATCACTCTGTGGTTGACACAGTAGAATGATCCCAATGTGTTCACACATAATTGTCCTCTGGAACAAGCGTGAGCACCTGTGAGGCACTCATCCAAATCTATATCAACATGTTGCAGCCAAAAGGGAAAAACAGAATTCTATTAGAACAATTGCTGAAATGAAACAATACTTCTTTCACGCTGGAGATGTCTAAATGAAGTGTGTTGGAACTACCACATCAGCACCATGCTATAATACATACAGTGTTCCACTGAAAATAGGGCTGGAATAAACCCTCAGAGATCATCCAGTCCTTGCTTGCACCCCCACACTGTTGTCATCACAGAAAGAGACATTCTTGGAAACAGTCACACAGAGGCCATGCACACTCTGCAGGAAACCTGTTCCAATGCACCACCACCCTTACCATCAAATCCTTACTTGAATATAGATAATAAATGTCTCTTGCTGCAATTTAAACTCACTACTTCCACTGACATTACCAAATTCTTTCACTTTCTGTATGAAAAAGATTGCCAGGAAATGCCCCTTTTGATGCTGACATCAATTAATCACATTAGCTTCCACCACACTTGAGTAAGCAATGCACAGTGACTATTTCAGCTCGTGATATTAAATGCCAATTTTCTTCAGACTATCCAGAATTTCATGAAAATGATTTGTGATTTGTTATTCAGTAAGATCTGAGATTAAGAGGGATGTGGATCACTTGTTAGTGATTCTGAGCATCAGAAGCTTCTTTCACTTCACTGCTGGCTGTTACTGCTCCCATGCTTACAGATCTATAATTAAAGTATGTCACAGGGCATTGCTTTTAACCTCCAGCACTTTCCCGAGCAAACATATCCTTAGTCACTACCCAAACATGTCCATTTAAGATTTATACAACATGAACAATCATGATGCAGCTTTGGAATTCACCATTCATCATTGTGCAGGCCTGAGCTTCAGTGTCAAGTGAAACACATGGAGCTGGACCAGCTCACAACGGCACATTCTTCACAGCAGTGAAGCCTCATTGAATTCAGGTTTTCAAGAATAAAACCAAACAAAAACAGATGACAGGGCAAAGCTGTAGCTCTGAGGGGGTTCCCCAGGACAACAAACATGCCCAAGTCCTGCTAGCTGCTCCCATTCTCAGGAAGAAAAGCTGCGTGTCCATAGCTGTGTAGACAGACACTGGGGAGGAACACCAGTGAGAAGAGAAACCAAGAGGGCTGAAAAA